TACCTTTTGACCGCACTCATGTAACAAGAAACTTACATCGTTTCAGAATACCTCAACATAGGACGGCTGGCTTTCAGAAATCGTTTTCTTTTCTTGCGCCGCAATTATGGAATTCTCTCCAATCAGTGTTAAATGCTTTAAATCACATTATTTTTAATAAATATGTTAAGAATAATTTGCTGGTTTTACAATCGAATATAATATAGAAGTAGAATATATATATATATATATATATATATATATATATATATATATATATATATATATATATATATATATATATATATATATATATATATATATATATATATATATATATATATATATATATATATATATATATATATATATATATATATATATATATATATATATATATATGTATTGAAATTCTGTTTAGTTATTTTTTACAGGGAGTGTGCCACACTGATGCCTTTGGCAATCAGTGAATCGGTTTTGTAATCGCGGTGCACTCCTTATTAGGCTATTAGGCTATTAGTCAGCCAAAGTATGGTTTATATTTTATATATTTTTTATATTGGGGCCTAATAAAAAGATTTGATTTGATTTGATTTGATTTGAAATAAACGTATAAAGATAGAAATTATACAGGGCGAGTCTTAAATATGTGCAAATATTTTCAGGGCTGGTGAATCTTGATAAAAAAACAGATTTTCTCTTTACTATTTTTCAAATAAGTCCAAAATAACCAAGTTATTCAAGATAGAATATTTAATAAAAAAATTGAGAGTCACCGTATTTTTTCTGTATTTGCATCCCTTTTAGGGCCGTAACCATGGTAATATCAGAGATTAAGAGATTATAACCTAAGAAAATTTGCGGTGAATAGTCTAGTTCTAAAAAGTTTTCTAAAGTATACAGAAAAATTTCAAAAGAAAATGCACAATTTTCAACACCTTTTTTGCGCTTATTAAAGACTCACACTGTATAGATGTACTAGCCCTGGTCACTTCATCTGCGTGGTCTGTATTTTAATGCATGTGATAAATATAAATATAAATGACCGGTTGTTAAACAATTAAAATATATAATAGAACCTTTCTCAAAAAATTAAATATTACATTCTAAATCTACTTTACTCATTAATTGCCTTTTCTAATGGGATTAATGCCAATGCCACTCAGTTTTAAATATTTTACAGGAAGCTGATAAACGCTAATAACGCAAAGAATTAGTTTCAAATTTACTTTTGTCGATATCAGTTTTCATTATACTTTTTTTTTAATTAAGTACAAGTATTCTTACTAGTATTATTATATTACTTTTAGTCCTGGTCTGGTCTCCAATCTATCTAAATAAGGGAAATTAAAATAACTTTGGTTGCACATCATAATACGACCACCAGCAAACGCCATAAGACGACGCATGGTGTCATTGATGACGTGCACCCAAAGTTGTTTTAATTTCCCTATACCGGGTGCGTCTCAAAAGTGGCTCACCTGTATAACTTTTTCATTTTTTTCAGTTAAAAAACTAGATTTGGTATGTTAGTATATGACATAAATTAGGGTTGATTGACGTATTCAATTGTTTTCGGTCACTTCCTCTTTCACCGGAAATTACAACAACTTTTGATTTTAAAATGACACCCTCGGTATTTTTTTACTTTATTCGATAAAAAATAAGACTCTGAATAGAATGACATGTCATATGTCAACTTTTGACATTTTCGCATATGGTTTATTTGAAATTATAACTTGCGGTTCATTTTGAATATATATACGAAAATTTGACTCGAAATACCAAGTGTGTGGTATCAAATTATTCTTAAAAAAATGCTTTTCACAAATATGCTAATGAGCCACCCTCGATCCATTGGAAAAAATTCAGATATGATAAAAAATACGATTTGAGCATTTTTTAACTGACCAGGACAAGACTCTAAAAACAAGGATCCAATCTATTTTTCCAAATAGGAGCCTAAATAGGATTGAAAATTAGTGTTTTTAACATAGCCATGGTACTCTAGATTGAAATTTAAAATTCAAATTTTTATTAAGCGAGAATGTCAAAAGTTGACATATGATATATGTCATTCTATTCAGAATGTCATTTTCTAACAAATAAAGTAAAAAAATACCGAGAGTGCCATTTAAAAATCAAAAGTTGTAGTCATTTCCGGTGAAACAGGAAGTGACCAAAAACAATTGAATACGTCAATCAATCCTGATTTATGTCATATACAAAAGTACCAAGTCTCGTTATTTTATCTAAAAAAATAAAAAAGTTATAGGGGTGAGCCACTTTTGAGACGCACCCGGTATATCTATTCCAATTAAATATAGATAAATGAATAAAATGACAAAATAACGAGACAATAGCTCAGGAATTTGTAAATGTTAATAATGTTTAGTTATCGCTTTTGTGATTTTTCAAACAATACTAGACAACACAAATCTTAATAAAAAATAAAAAAAATATTTTATATGTAGATATTTTTGGTAGTAGTTCATTATCAATTTTTATCAGGTACCTGGTATATATATTTTTGAAGTTTGATTTTATATTAGTTTATTAGAACATCAACCATTATAATAAACGTGACTGTACTTTTTAGATGTATTTAATATTTTTTCGTTGTTGTTTTTGTTTTTTTTTTGTTTTTGAAGATGTGGTGAGATAACCCCTTGAAACGTTAAGCATATTTTGTTTGTTGGGCACAAGTTTGTTTACTAATAAAAAGTCTCTAAGAAGCTAGTTTCCCTTTGCATTTTACCCACTGGCAGTTTACAAAAAATAACCTTTATATTTTTTGACTTCGTGTTCAGTGGCAAAATCCCAAAATTTCCTCCAAAAATATCTCAGAATTTTTAAAAACGGTTAAAGTGTACTTGGATCAAATATACTTGAATGCTGTGCGCGCTTCCCTTGGACGGTGTTGTGGAATCGTATCAACTGATCTAAAATCGGTTGGTATGATTCAAGTGGAGTATTTAGTACACTGATGGAAAGCGGTAGTAATGGCCATTTATGTCCCTTAAGTGCTGTTAAGAAGGTGAGTTTTGTTGATGTAAATAATAACTGTTTATATGTTCATTATTAATTTATTTTAATTTCCTAAAATATTTTGATTAAAAGAAAATATATTACAGTGGGCAATGCTGTGCTGGTCAAGCTTAACCATGTGAATAAAAGTCTATTTGGTATGAACTGTAGGTAGTAATTCTATGTCTACGAAATATTGGGACACCCTGTATAGGATACGGCTTAAATATGCACACATATTTTTACACAGGATTGGTAGATCTCGATAAAATAAACATGTTTTCTTTTTACCGTTTTTCAAAAAAGTCCAAAATATCCCAGTTATTTAACTTTGAATATTGAAAAAAAAAATTAAAATTAAAAAAAATTGTTTGTCCACTATGTGGGCATATTTGAAGTGAAACTTCTTACTAATAGCTATTAAATTGAATGATTAAAAAAAGAGATTTATTTAAAAAAATGGGTATAAAGGTAATTACAAAAAAACTTATTTAAAAAAGTTTAATCATATATATATATATATATATATATATTGTAACTCTATAACTATGCTTTTCCATACCCATGTTTATAGGAACTTTTTTCATATCTTTTGATAAGGAATCAATGAGTACTTATTTAAAACTTTCGCAAGTTAATGATATCAACATTTTTTAAAGGTTGCTATTAGATCAAAGTAAATTAATAAAATTGCGTTTATCTCATCAAAGAAGCCGAAATCGACAAAATATCAAGAGGCACCTTTTAATCGGCATTAAACTGTTTACACTATTCCGCTAACAAGAGAAAAAAAGTCAGTGGCGTACATGCTTTTATTAAAAAAATATTCTAGTGATAACTCATTTGCACGTCTCTGATAAATATTTCGACACTTTTTTAGCTTTAAAATATGTCGTATTTATAGTAACTTTTACCCTCAATATTTCATTCGAAACGCTAAAGGTACTTGGAAGAAAATTATAATAAATCGAAATATTATTAAGACTTTAACACCCTGTAGCTACGAAACAAAGCAGAATCGGACCCATGTTGATATAAAAAATAAATCTTATTTTTACGCGAGGAATCTCCCTACGAGAGATGGTGCATGTTTTTTGAAGCACCCTGTATAATACTGAACCAAAATTATGTTTTTCTTGGCTTGTTCGTGTATATCAGTCACATTGACTAATTCATTTCAGGAAAAAATCTGTAACTATTATCTCTACCATTTATACTAATTACAATAAATTAAACTAAAATTCAAATTTTGTTCTTAACTTGCTTAACAGACAAGACATTTTGATAATTATTACTTTTTGTCATGGCAACGATGATAAGCTAATTAGCTGATAGCGTAATTGTATTAAAAATATGGGTAAAAATATAAAAAAATTGGAATAAATCGCAAACTATTAAAAATAGGTATATGACATACTTAATAAAAGTTGAAGAGTTTTGTAAAAGCTATCAGAAAAAATGATAATATATAGGGTGTACCATTTAAAAAATTTGAAATTTTTAATTTTAAGTAGTTGAAATTCATAAATATATTTTAAACACCTTGTAGCATCTAACTAAAATATCTTTACATAGGTCTTTTTCTACATCTCTATATATAATTCTCCTACCAAATTTTAGTTGTCCAGCTTCAGAAACAATGACAATTTTTTATAACACTGCAATCTAACATTATTTTTTTAAACAAATTGAAATATTACAAAAACTATTAATTTTAGGTATATAACATTATATATAAAAAAAGTTATGGAATGTTACGCACACTCTAAAAATAAAATAAAAAATTGGGTGTTGCATTTAAAAAAAACATATGTTATATCCGCCACACTTTTTTGAAGCACCCTGTATACCCTATAATAATTTTAAAATGTGTATCTTAACCATCCCTATAACTTTTATATTTAACATTTTTTTGTAAACCTCGAAACAAATGAGATAATGCACTTTACTCTATCGTTGACTCACCCTGTACATACAAAACTCTTTTCACTCACCTTGCATGGCTGTAAACTTTTCGGCCATCCACATCTCCTCCTCCCTCGTGAGGGTGAAGTTCATCCAGGCGTCCTCGATATCGGTCAAAAGTTGCAGCATCCATCGCGGGTCCAGCGGGTTTTTGAGGTAAATCCTGGACGCGGCCACGAACCTCGCCAGCGCAGTTTGCAGTTCGGTTAGGTCACCTGGAAAGCGTTTAGGGTTGCTGTGAGTCTGGCTGAAACTGTTGCGGTCCTTTGGGGACGGTTAAATAAATGCGAGGGTCAAGCCGAGAAAAAGGAGGTTTCTGGTGTTTGTGTTTCATTACGGGTTTGCTTTGGAATGCGTTAGAATGTTCTTTTTTTCTTCTAGTTACTAAATTGTTCAAATATTTGAATAAAACAGTTACATTTTCATGTTGTGAATATTTAAAATATTCAATGTAAATATTTGTTTTTAATAAAACAATCAAACAAATAATTGTTGAAAGTACATAAAAATATATGGTTTGGTTGTCAACTCAAGTCAAACAAGTCAAATTAGTTTAAAAAAGGCCCATCGGTGGAAAAAATTCCCACAGTTTTGAAAATGGTTTTAAACGATTCCTCTAGACTTGGGCACATATGTGTCAAAAGTCACCGAAGAGAGACGATGAGCTCCAGGAGTGGGGAGGAGTTAAATGTCAATTCTTTCACTCTTTTTTGCTTATATCTCGGAAACTATGACATCAAAACTATGACATAAATTTTGTCAGCTTTATTTTTATATATAGAGTGTTTTTGGGTAGATCTCATAGTTTCCGAGATATAAGCAAAAAATATAAAAAGTAAAAAAAAGTAAAAAAATTGACATTTAACTCCTCCCTACTCCTCGAGCTCATCGTCTATATTTGGGGACTTTTGACACATATCAGCCCAAGTCTAGAGAAATTATATAAAACCATTTTCAAAAGTGTGGGATTTTTTTCCACCGATTTTTCTAATTTGACTGCGCTAACATAGTGATTGTATTTATAAAATTAAAGAGATTTTTATAAAGAAAATGCTGTACTGTGAACAATTTTTGAAATTATTTTTCTATACAGAACATAGCAGGGTCGCTGTATATGTATGAAAACGGTCAATTGTTAGGTAAAATATACGAGGTACAGCATGGTAAAAGTTAAATATAAAAGTTGTAGGGTTTTTAAATGTCTATTACCAAGGAATAAATTTAAGTATACAAGGTCGGTGATAAAGTCGTGGCACATTAAAGTTTATTTTTTAAATGGAATCCCCTCCTGTATTATTACATATCGTCGGTGAAATGTGATAAACTGCTAAAACCAAATCAAACTAATTTTAGAGGATAGAAAAGAAACGGTACAAAAGAATATCTACAGGGTGGATCAAATTGGATGCTTTTAAAGGGAAACACCCTTTTCTATAGGAGATAGACGAAAACTAATATGGGTGTCTAGAGCTCAATTTTCATCAAAAACATGATGGTGAAAACCGCACATCGATATCTGTTACCGTTTCAGAGTTACGGGATGTTTCTCAAAAATGTGCTTTTTTAACAAATCGTTGTAACTTTTTTGCTATGGAAAATTTTGTATTTCTATCATAACATTTCCGAAACACCTTTTTACGTAGAATTTAATGGTTTAAGTATAATTTTTTTAAAATTAATATTTTAAGATTTATCAACAGAAAAATTGATTTTTTATTTGGGACTTTAGGACACCCTGTATATTTTTAATTAACTGAAAAAAACTTAAAATTACCTTTTCAAAAATATAGCACACTTAATATTTTGTTATAATCCCCTTCGAAATATAGAATTTTTAAAAGTTCGCCACTTTTAACTAGTAGGCTTTGAACCCCTTATCTGACGATATGCCCCTAATGGAACTCGAAAACATATTTTTCCAGCTAGACGAGGCACCGCCTCAGAACGCTGAAGTTAGCAGCAAATTTTTGCAGCCAATTTCAAGAATAATTGAACATATAACCAAGATCCTAGCCGTTGGCCGTTGAGGCCGCCGGACTTAGTGCCTCTGGATCTAATCCTATGTATATGTCTGCGGAAGAATGAAGGTTCTTATTTTTAAATTGCCCGTATAATCTAGACAAGAATTAGAAGTACTTAGCAGTTATGAAGGGGTATCTTTCACCCCCACTGAGTTAATGAATTCCGCGAGAATTGTTCAAAAACAGTCCCGTCTCTCCGTAACAAAAGACGGTCGATATGTCGAATACTACCTGTAGCAATATCTCATGTTTTGGTTTGCTATTTATTTTTATTGTTAATAGATATAGTTTAAAATGTGTTGATGTTGGTTAAATATAGTTAAAATTGTTATAAAATTCTGCATCTCTTATTGCAAATATTATTCTCGTTTTAATTGATGCTCACAGCTGGATTTTTTTTTGCATTACAGCCGGCGCCGCGCCGTTCAAAGCCTACTTATTTAAAGTAGGCCAATTTTTATAAACTCTATATCTCGAAGAGGAATCGAGCTATAAAAATATCAAGTGTGCTATATTTTTGGATAGGTAATTTTAAATTCTTTTCAATAGATTAAAAATATACAGGGTGTCCCACATAAAAAATCAAATTTGCTGTTAATAACTCTTAAATTATTAATTTTAGAAAAATTATACTTAAACCATTAAATTCTACGTAAAAAGTTGCTTGGGAAATGTTTTCATAAAAATAGAAAATTTTCCATAGCAAAAAAGTTAGAGCGATTTGTTAAAAATGCAAATTTTTAAAAACACCCCGCAACTCCGAAACGGTAACAGGTATCAATGTGCGGTTTTCACCATCATATTTTTGATAAAAATTGGGCTCCAGATACTGATATTAGTTTTCGTCTATCTCCTATATAAAAGGGTGTTTCACTTTAAAAGCGTCCAATTCGACCCACCCTGTACACATGTAGCAAATATATTCATGCGTTAATATGATATGATTGAAATAACAACAATATTTGTTGGGGGACAATGACACACCGATATCTGTTTTGTCATTTACTATTTTTATTATTTTTTATATAAATCATTTCCAAGAATTCCTTTTTTGTTGATTTTTATCGGTTTTTAAAATTTTAGTATCTTGGAATCTAAAGCTTTGTCCGTTTTGTTCCTCAAGTTTATATAAAGCGGTTTTATGTTTTTTATCATATTTGTATCCATTTAGACGACTTTGTAATAATTGTAACGTTTGTCCTATATAAGCACTGGAACAATCGCCACAAGGGACTTGAGAAAGAAACTAAGCTAAAATAATATTTGACATTAGTTTTCGAGTTAGAATTTATAGATGTACAAAATGAGGTTACATCAAGTCTGGAAATTACAAAGTTTTCGTTTAACATTTGAAAATCAAAATTTTATAATTCGGAAATGGTTAAATTTAGGTACGTTATATGTATTACGATTATTGCTTAAAATTGAAGAAAGAATTGAAACATGCATTAACATAGAGAGCGTTGTATTAAAAAAAATGATGTGCCACAAATTTATGACCTACCTTGTGTACTTAAATTTACTAATAGCTAATAGACATTTAAAACCCATGCCAATAATCGTAGGACATTGAGAAGGAAATAATTCTTTGCTGTCTCTTTATTGTAAAAATAACAAGTACTTTCATATACATATGTACCTTGTACTGCATGTTGGTGTAGTATGGTGAGAGCTGGTCCCGGTAAGTCTCCAGGCCAAGACCATGTTTCTCTATCCCAGTTTTTCAATTCGTAGTCCACGAATGTGGCATAGAGACTCTCGTGTTGAGTCAGTTCTGTCCAGTTGTCGTCATCGGCTGCACCGCGATTTTCTCTTGTAGATAACCACATTTTCAGCCTGCAAACAAGAAAAAATAAGCGTAAAATATGGTAAATGTATACAGGGTGATATGAATTCTAATCGAGAATTGGAATCCAATGCAGATAAAATTTTGTAAAAAAGTTCGTATCAATTCAATTCATCTATTTATTTTTAGTCCCACACCAACAGATGCCGCATTACGTCCCTCGAGCATATCTTTTGCTTCGGTAATACAGTCTAATATCAATACGATATCATCGGCAAATCTTAGATGATTTAGTTTTTCACCATCAATGTTTACACCCTTATCTCCAAAGTCAACTTGCTTGAACATATATTCTAACCATGTAATGAATAACTTTGGTGATATAATATCACGTTGTGGGACTCCCTTCTCGATTTTAAAATATGCTGTTTTCTCGTGGAGCCCCACATATGCTTTTGCATTGTTATGTGATCTACCTGACATTCGGTTAAGGCTTTTAGCATCTTATGTTGATTTATTGTATCAAACGTCTCCTCGTAATCGACCAAAATCAAAATCAGAGGCTTGTTGTGCATTCCACAGATTTTTCGATAGGGGTTTTAATGACTTGGAGATGATGTTTGTACCGTATCCATCTCTAAATCCATCTTGCTATCTTGGTCGGTACAAATCCAATTTGTGGGTTATATGGTTGGTATTAATGCGTATGAACAACATGAACAGCGCATGTACATATGGAAAAGCAAACTTATTGGACGATAGTTAACCAGGCTCGTAAAGTCTCCCTTCTTGTGAATAATTATTATTTACAAGAAGGATCCAATTGTGAAGGAGTTACTCTATTTTCTAAACAAGTATTTAAGAGATTTTTTATAGCTTGCAGAAGTTTTGGGCCTCCATATTTAAAAGCTTCGAAAACTACACTATGGGTCCACACTAGGTCCTCACAATAGGAGGAATTGACCTCAAATCCAAGGAGGCAATAGAGAAAGAGGGACATATCCTCTATTATAGATACGGGACAACCCCGGTATCAGGTCTAAGGAGAGACCAAGTTAAAGAGGTGGAGAAAATGGAGATAGATCCACCTCAAGGGTTTCTCAGCCCGAGGCAAGCTCCTCGACTATGCAGAGCGGCACGGAGGGCCAAATTCCAACCGTGGAAGGGTGTGTACCCTCGGAGGAAGAACTGCTGTCAGAGGAGGATGGAAAATACCCTATCCCCTCTACAACAGGGGTATGATGGGTTATAGACTGTGTGATGACTCAAGGAAGGGGGGCACAATACATCTTTAAGGCCGCAGTGATTAACCCCCTTCTTACTCATTCTACATTCTATATTCTACAACTACACTATCCTCTCTCACTACACTATCCTCTAATTTATATTATAACATCTTTGAAATACAATTAGAGTTCTATCAATAAACTTACTTTAAGTCAGCCATTATAATGAGCATTAATGAGAGTTGTTAATCTGTTGATATGCTCCTTTCCTAGTCTTCATATTCAAAGGTTTTAATGCATGTGAATTTTAAGACTGACAACCAAAAGAGTAATCTTCATGTTTAAATTGAGAGTAGAAATTTAAAAAAAAAATCGTCTCAAAAGCAACCGGCATGGAACTAAAATCCTGGCTAATTCACCTCCTAATAGCTTTGAATCGAAGTCAATCCAGAGCGCGGTGCGTCTCCATATAAATTCCTTCGCAGGCAGCGAAGCCGTCAGATGTGCTCCATTAAATTTGTACGTCCGATGAGAATTATCTAAGAGGATTTGCTGTAAATTCCCGAACGTTTATTGGAATGGGGTGAAAACGGGCCAAACCCTCGTCAACAAATAGCTTCTTTCCTCTGCCGTTTCATATAACGATAGTTAAGGTGCGGAAGCCAAGTCGTCCCTTCCTCTTCAACGGAGAATAACAGGATCTTTAAAGGTCAAGAAGCATAATTGGAAAAGTTTTTTCTTATTTCTCTACTGCAGTTTATCGATGCTACAGGGTGCTCCAAATTCGTGGTACGAGCATTGGTATCTCGGAAACCGTAATAGATACGAGGATGGTTATATTGAGGCAAAGTTGCGCCTTGGGATGTTCGCTAACATTATATTAAATTATATCAAAAAAGTTTCAAGAATTTCAAGGATTGCTGAGTTTTTTGAGAAAAACGGATTTTTTTAAATACATTTTATTTTTTCCTGTCGTTATTTTTTAGAAAATCAAAAAACGAACTGCACATTCTCATAGCCACTTTGTCAGGGCTATCTGATGGTATTTTTAGATTTTCAAATTAGCTGATAATTTGTGAGATACAGAGGCCAACTTAATTTTTATAAATACGGACCTGCATTTTTTATTTTAGATTGTGAAACTAAACCAACTCGGTCTCCTGAGTACAATGATATGCAACACTTGATACTTTTTTTTGTTTTGGACATTTTGTAATGGAATATTTTAGAGCAGACAACAAACCTAGCTTGTTAAAAGTGTATCATGTGTTTCCGCCCTTAAATTGGTTTTTTTCAGAAGATCGTAAAAACTGTTTAGAATGAAGGACCCGTTTCTCTGGGAAAAACTAAATATTTTTCTGTTGGTTGTAAAATCCCACGTCCATAAATTAATATAATACTTGCTTTGAAACAGCTACAAACGACTAGCATCAGTCATTAAGGCTGTAAAAGCCTAAATTTTAACTTCGAGATTATATAAGCAAAACCCCTAGAAAGCAATAAAACTCTAAGACCCTTCTCACGATAGACCTCCAACGGGCCAATACAAACAGATTTTGGATAAAAACAAGTATAATTGTTAATTTAAATATTAAACTAAAGTTCACGTAATGATAATCTGAAAGTTAAGGACTGTCCTCCTTTTTTATCCAAAATATCCAAAAGTATGTGAAATAAATAAACTTATAAGATAAAACAGCGGAATCTAATGAAATCAAATTATATAAATATATATGTGACAATAAATCAATATATGTGATTTGTTTGGTTTTTAAGGACAGACCTTAAAATATACTTTAGTTAGGGTTAGATTTAATCATGTGTAATTGTGTTTACGGTAATTATAATATTTACACGGATATTAGTAATAATTTGGAAATAATATAGAAATGGTCATAGTAACGACATCTGTGACAAGTAGGGCGAACTAGACCGGGAACGACAGGGTAGTTGAGGTTTTTTCAGACCAATCAGACGGTTCCTGAAAAGCGAACCCGAACATGATTTGAGAATGGCTCGGCTTTTGGTGGTTCCCTATTCTTTTTACCCGCCCATTTTAAAGATTTCGAGATTTAGGAAAATAGTTTTTTGGATCAGTTCGGTACTGACTTTTAAATTAGACGGTCGAATCTCCTCCGTGTAGATCTTATATTATGGTGGTTTCTTTTTAATAATTTTAGTAAGTTTTCTATTTAAAGATTTTCTTAAATATTCGATTCTCAAGTTAGGAAATTTTAAACATTTCATGTATAAAAATTTTTAATTTGTTGTTTTAGATTTTCTTTAATATTTCTTTTATTAACGATTTAAGACTTTCTGTTTGTTCTAAAGGCTTTAGTAAAAGTTAGATGTCATCACACAAATTATTATTTTGCAATTGTTCTTTTTATTAAATTCTAATTTAAATCCAATTGATCAGTTAATATTTTTTTTGTCATATTAATTTTCTGGCAACGAAAATTCTAAGAGATATTTGAATTGTATGCTAATTTTAGATAATTTAGATTAGACTAATAAGAAGAATATTTTGTATTTTTAACTTTATCACTTCTGAATTTTAATATCATTCATTAATTATTTTTGATTAAATATCTTTCTTTTTTTTATATTTCATTAATTATAAATGTCTTATTAAATCGTTTTCTTTATTTTTATCTATTTATTTTTTTTTATAGTAAATATAGTTAGGTGTTGTGAAAAATCGGCATTTTATTTTTAATCTCACCTTTTCACTAAAATATTAAACTATCTAAAAGAACACTATGATAACTGGTCGAGTGGTTTAATGTAAAGAATGAGTCCAAGACCGAAGTGGTGGGGATCAATGAAATCTTCGACAGGTTCTTGTTGTTGATGTATTGCTGATGGATGTTGACGTAATAAGGTAAGTGGCAATAGAGTTTATAGTAACTGAATTTAGAAAGAACCCTTACCATAAAAGTGCGATGCCTTAATTTCTATTTTTAGCTGGCTATATTTTGTTTTTTTATATATAAACGAAACTATATTTACGCTCTGAAAAGTCGGTGTTCTCATTATCCAAGTTCTGCCTACCGCTCAGTAAATTATTTTAATTATAATTATATAAAGGCCACACTACCATGTTAACGGACAAATCTTGAAAGTTTTGTCACAATTTGAACACAATTTATTTAAACTAATTTCAAACTTTTCAATGACGTGGGGTAAAACATTGAATAGGGAAAATCAAATGCAATAGAATAATAAAAAAATGGCGCCGGGAGGCACGTATAGCCGCCCATACTAAAATATGTTAATATCTCGAAAACTGCGACTTTGACTGATTTGGTGTTATTACAAATTTTGTTGCAAATGTTATTCCTAATCTTAATTTGAAAACCGCGTTTCGCTAGCTACTGTAATTTTGGAATTACGGTTTGTTTAAAATTTTTAACCCCCTCCCATACCCCCTTACCAACTCCCCAACCCCACCAAAAACTAATGACCAGATTCTCGGGTGCCACAGTATTTTTGTGCCAAATTTGGTTAAAATCGGTTCAGCGGTTTTTGAGTTATCGTGTTACAGACGGACAGACGGACAGACGGACAGACGGATAGACAAACAGACAGACACCATGAAAATATTTTGTATTTAGGTCATTTATGACCCAAATAACTCATTTTGGATCAGTTCGATTCAGTTTTCATTCAGTTCAGATTTGATTCAGTTTTTGAGCAAAATTAAAAAAACTTTTTTTTTTGTCGATTCTAATAGCCTACCATACCTATTGGTATGGTCGGCTAATAAATAATATAAATATAATATAAACAATCAAATCATTTCCTCGGAAGATGGATTGGAA